GAGAGAGAGAGAGAGAGAGAGAGAGAGAGAGAGAGAGAGAGAGATGGTTGGCGGAGGCCAGGGAGACTTACCTGTGGCGCCATAGCTCCAGCTTCATCTTCAATGTACCTGCAACAAGGCGCCACCTTCATAGGTTAGTACCGGACTGAGAGAGAGAGAGAGAGTTCCTTTTCTTCCTCTTTTAAGTCCACCATCTCTTCCTCACCCTCTCGCTACCTGACTTCTCAGTATCTGCAGACTACGAGAGCGAGAGATTGGTGACTTTGGGACATGATGACATTTGGATCCAGACTCGACATTGGGATTCAGACATTTGACGAGGGATTATTTGGGACCTGTACCGAAGACTTGGTGTTGACGACATTCCCATCCTCCCTTCTTCTTCGTCTAACCCCCCTTCTCTTCGTCCGTGTATGGTTGGGGACTGGCACATTCTTCCTGTGTGAGCGCCAGGCCCCTTCACACCATGGAATGATGATGATGAATATCTGGTCTGCATTGCAACATTGATTGTTCGGATCATGGGTATTTAAGCCTTCCGCTGTGCTATCTTGGACTATGTGAGAGAGGTCGGTACTTGTTCTGGTCTGTACCGTTACGGTATGCGACAATTTGTGCGTATGTGTCAAGATTTGTGTGTGTGTGTGTGTGTGTGTGTGTGTGTGTGTGTGTGTGTGTGTGTGTATGTGTGTGTTTGTGTGATACTTAGGGTGTTTGTGTTTATCACATCTGTTAGTGTTGGAACGTGTGGGATTAAGGTAATTTGTATGGTATTAATGTATTAGGCATTTGACATACCTTGCTTCATAGTTGGTGTCAAGGCTGGTGGTCCTTGAATCTTGGTCCATATGTTGTATTTGTGTGTGCTTGAGTGTTTGTTGTTGTAAGTTTTTTTTTTTTTTTTTTAATAAAAGTTGTTTTGCCACATGTGACTCGCTCAATCGGGCGCTGAACGTGTGGGGCGTTGAATACGTCCACGTTCAGACACATCTGTTTGCACTTGCAAATGCAATACAGGTGTGTCGTTTCAACCTGCGACCGACACCACACCCTTTCTGAATCAGACTTTTCCACTTTTCCACCCTGCCGCTGCTTTGCCACCGTTTCGACCAAAACCCAACGCGCGGTCCCACGGGCAGCTACCGGTCCCACATTTTTCAAAGAAACTTCCACCACCCCCCAAAGATCCACCCTGCTGCTGCTTTGCCACCGTTTCAACCAAAACCCAGCGCGCGGTCCCATGGGCAGCTACGGGTCCCGCATTTTTCAAAGAAATTGCCACCACCCCCAAAGTGTCGTGCCTGCACCTGCCAGCATTTTTCGAACCCTCCAATGACCAAACAAGCCCGAATCAACGACCGGTATAACGAAGGACGACGAAAATGTCTCGGGGGGTAAATGTCTCAGGGGGGGGAAACGCACCCCTGACGGATTGCGAACTGACGTCGAAATTTCAATGACGTTGAAAGTCTCAGGGGGGGGAACGCAACCCTGACGGGCTGCGAACTATCTCAGTTTTGGGAGGCGGCGCCACAAAGAAACCCCGCCCCTATGCTCGACTTCGACTTTGGAACTCTACTCGGACACTTGTGTGAGAGACGCTTGACTCTCAACTCGCTACTCTGTGTTGTATGCTAAGCTGGACTCTCGACCGGCTACTCAGACCGTCTGCTCGAACGTGTGTATGTGTAAAAGGAGGGGAGGGCCAGGGGGGAGCGAGCGAGTGAGAGAGACAGAGAGAGAGGGCTCTCTACTGGCTGCTTGGGCTGTCGACCCGCTACGCTACTGACACACCCACACTCATCACACACTGATGACACACACACACACACACACACACACACACACACACACACACACACACATATACAAACAGACTCATCACAAACGCACGCGCTTACATTTTCGACCGCGATTTGTGTGGATTTGTGGTCGCGAAGCTCTTGCCACTTCCCCCCCCAAAGTGTCGTGCCTGCACCTGCCTACATTTTTTGAACCTGCCAACGACCAAACGAGCCCGAATCAACGACCGGTATAATGAAGGACGACGAAAATTTCTCGGGGGGGGCGGGGGGGAACGCACACCTGACGGGCTGCGAACTTGTATTTGCATATGTGACAATGAATAGCACGTATCACCTATGCATCTACCTATACGGCCTTTCTGGCTCCAGACATGTTGGCCTGTGTACTCGAATTCGAATATGTAACAACGGATTGACCGCCCGTTCGCTCCAGCTGCCAGCACTGCAACTGCCAGCTGTTTTAGGTCCCGCTGGGACTATACAGTGTACGCCTGCCAGCCCGCCAAATCGTCGTGACATGCCAAGGACGCGCTCAATTTTGCCGTGACATGCCTACAAACATTCGCAGCCGGGGACGCAGCCCAAAAAACGGACTGTCCAGCGCGTTCCGCAGCCGACCACCCGCTCACTCCAACTGCCAGCTGTTCGCGCTCACGTGGTGACAGTAAGGCTGCCACACCGCCGAATCATCGTGACATGCCTAAAAACTGTCACAGCCAGGGGGCACGGTCCATTTCGCCATGACATGCCTAAGAACATTTGCAGCCCGGGACGCAGCCCCAAAAACGGACTGTGTCCAGGGCGTTCTGTGGCCAAGGCGTCCGCGCCGCTTTTCGTAATTAACAAAAAGAAAAACCCAGCCTATAACTATGAACCAACAAGAGTAATTAACAAAAGGGAAAACCAATCCTAGAACTACAAACTAACAACCGTAATTAATAAAACAAAACAACAAGCCTACAAGCAAATCATCATCGGCATAGTTTGCACAAGGAACATCTCTGTCGTTTGCAGGACAGTCGATCCAAGCGTCCAGCAGCAAAATCAGTACACCACTCCCCATGTGGCAGCCCCAGCGATAATGATTTTCTTACATTGAGATGGGCAGAGGGTGATTGATGATGCTCATCATGATGAGATCTGCGTGCTTACGTGTCCCCTTACCAGCTGATTAGGGGGATTGAGATTCAGGGGCCCGCCGATACATTCGAAAACAGGACAATCAACAGCGCGGCTGTCTGGCGCTAACACTCTGCGTGGTCGCAGCCGGCAGGGCCCGGCTGCCTGCCATGCGATCGGGTGACCGTGTGGGTCAACGCGGGAAGCTTGAGCTGCGCGTCCTGCCCCAGGTTAGCGGTGACGCTGACGTGGCAGTCCCATCAGATGTGGGGTTGGTAGGGAGCGTGGGAGATCATCGGCGCGAATTCTGCCGCGGTATACAGATGGCTTTGATGGGCGACAAGCAGCGACGGGCCACCGACTGGCTCATACTCGTTAAAGGAGCTCGTTCTCGTTTACAGGAGATGGTGGAGGCACTGCGATCACAACTGGGAGTCAGACCTGAGGCTGTTGGGGGGGCAGCTTCATCGGGTCCGCCGTATCGGGAAGTGATGTCGAACATGTTGCAGATTGTCTGGGAGCTGCAGCATCTGCAAACGGAGGGTCTCATGGATGGTCAACTGGAGTCTCTGAAGCAGTGTTGCGACGACATCATGGAGGAGGGGCAAGATGTGTACGCGGCGCTGGAGGAGGAGTTCTACTTGCACTTGTTCGAGACGGAAGATGAGGATTACACCGAAGCGTGCACCACTGGTAGTGACGAGCTGCAGGGGGGTCGAACTGGTGTTGATATCGCCCTCGCTACTTATAAAAATGCAATTGATAACAACATGTTTGTGCAGGTCCGGGGTATAGACATAGGGATCGTCAGCTTGGGCTTGTCCGACAACAACGTCAACAACAACAACAACAACAACAACAGCAACAATAACAACAACAACACCAGCAGCAATCACGACGCAGGGATTGTGGGCACCGGCAAGATTACGACAGTCGAGCGCGACACTGGTGCAACGTGCACACTGGATTGCGATAATAACAACAGTGACAACGACAATGACACTGATAACAACAACGGTAAGCACGACACTGGTGCGAGTGACGAAATCGTGAGCCCGCGCACGCTGGATTGTGGTAACAACAACAGTGGTAATGACAATGATATTAATAACAACGACGGCAACCACATGAAGAATGTCAATATCGGCGGTTTGGTAAGTTTGGTAGGGGTTTCCGTTCTTGTCTACCCCTCCTTCTCTCCCCCGCTGTCCTTTCTTCCTTGCAATCATGTTGACGATTTGGGGGGTGGGCGAAGGGGCTGTTGGAATGGTCCGCTCAGCAGATTGGAAGGGTGTGGGGGATAGTTTGGGGTGGGGTGGGTGCGCATCTAGATGTGTATAAGAGACAGCTGTGTACACAGTGACTGGCCTCTACAACATCATGGACTTAAAAAAAAAAAAAAAAAAAAAAAAAAAAGCTGTTGGTTAGAAGACTCAGGGGACTATTCGCTGCAGGTCTGACGTTGATGTCAGATTGCTCTACAACGATCTGCTGCAGTGGCTGGTACACGGTTGACCAGCCAGATATCTTCAATCAAGGCTTGCTAAGTGAGTTTGTTCTGTGGATTTCCTGGCCCGCTGTCAGACCTTGTCAGTGTCTGTCAGAGTATATCAGCGTCAGTCCACGTGCAGTCTAAGATCAGATTGGTCGTCAGTTGTCCTTGGTCGGTGCTGACCCCCTCTCTGAGTCCGTTCTAATCTGATGACAGGAATGCTATTGACATACCCTGACCTCACGTGATTGCTTGTCGGTTCTCCAAGTCCCAACCGTAAACAGTGTCTGTCCCAGCCGTCAGTTTCAGTCGGTCAGTCGGTCATGTCAGTTGGCAATTACTATAGGCAGTCAGAAAAGGGTCAGCCCGTTAATGATGACTTCTGTCTGCGTCAGATGTCAGGTCGTCACTCAAATGGCATATTCCTATCTTGATTAGAGCACGGATTTTCCAGACTGCATTTGCGGTAAAAGAGGTCTGCTCAAGTTTTTATTTTATTTTTCTGATTGCATAAAGAAGGTCTCTCTCTCCCTTGTTGTGGAATGCTAACGGTTTCAGGAAGGCTCTGTGGCGAGCGTGATAAAAAACAACTTTGTATTTCTGATCAGGTTCCAGGCTCAGAAGTAGCCGTTCCGTTGACTGTTTTGGCAGTTTGCCCAAGCCTGAAACCTCCCAGACTGCTTTCTGACATTTGACACTACCAGCCGTGTTCCCCATACCTTTAAACAGCACAGGCTAACTCTCGTTATCTCAGTTCTGAGTGTGAACAGTAATCTGAGTTATTTTACTTTTATTTCATTTGTACCCATCTGACAAAAAAAAAGTTAAAAGACCAGAATGTCGGAGGTGAAGAAGGAGGTGGCTGAAGGCGGGGAAACATCTAGGCCTGTCAGAGAGGGGAGACAGCAAACAATAGTGCAGGACCCGCTGGATGCCGCACTGCAAGCAGCAAAGGAAATTGTTGCCAAAGCTCACAGGGAAGTAGAGAGAATAGAAAGGATAATGGCTGAGGCGATCCAGAGAGGAAAGACAGCAGCCAGACAGGCTGAGCTGTTGGAGAGCTTTGAGAAGGCCAAGACTGATGGCCGTAATTCTGATATTGTTCAGAGTCTTGCAGAGTGGGCCCTGCTAGAATCCGCTCATGCTAGGAACGTTTCCACGGCCTGGAATGACAGGATCACAGCCGAAGAGACCAGACTGGACTCGATGGACGCCACCCTGCAGCGACTATTAGATGCCTTCTTCAGGCAGTTTCCACCATCTCCTAAACCTAGTCCTCCACCCACTCCTCCTACCCCTCCACCCATGACACCACCACCACAGCAATCCCATCCTGAAACTGTGCCCACACAGGGACCGAGTTCTGGCTATCTACAGCTTGAACAGTGGTTTCCCAAGGTGACCCAACCTGAGAAGTTCACTGGGAAAGACCCCAAAGTGGACGTCTCAGACTGGATAGCCCAAATGAGGTCGTACCTCGGGGGTTATACCTGTCCAGAAGTGGACAAGGTACGAGCCACACTGGCCCTCCTGGCAGGGGCTGCGCTGAAGTGGGAAACTTCTGAGGCCAACAAGGCCCAGAAGCAGCTAGATGATTTGATTGTTGTGAGTGGTCTGGACACGATCTTTCAGGACCTAGAAACCAGGTTTGCTGATAAGGACAAGGCCAGCAAGGCCGCTGATGAGCTTGTGAGACTAGGCCAGGGTAAGTGGCGAGGATCTCTCTTCAAGTTCTATGCTGAGTGGGAAAGACTAACATCAACTCCTAGTTTGGAAATTTTTTAGCATGACAAACTGGCATGGTTTGTCAGAGCTACTCCAGACACATACTCCAATGCCTTGTACACTGCAGGCCACAAGGATTGGATGTCTTTTGGCAGGGCAGCACTGGACATGGAGGCCGCCCTCCATCTGCAGTCCTCTTCCCACAAGGGAAGCACCTCCTCTGCCCAGAGTAGAAGAAGGGAAAAAGGGGGATTTTTATGTTGCAGGTTTTGATGATGACTCTGCAAGCTCTGGCCATGGGGGATCTGCTCCCCCAGCTGGTCTAGATGCAGGAGACACATCAGATCGGGCAGCCCTGCTGTTGGGTCAGACTCTAATGAGCTTCATGAAGGCAAAAGTCAGTTTCAGCCCCAAAAGACCACCAGTCCCAAGGGTTCAGGCAAACGCCCAAATGGCCAGCAGGCACCAAACCTTCCAAAGGGTGCCCAATGTCCACCTAATCCCATGGATCCTCACACATTCCCCTGGAGAGATCTCAAATGCAGAAGGAACATGGCAAAAGAGAAAGGATCAAGGAGTTTGTCTGCGTTGTGCAAAGAAGCACTTCGTCAAAGACTGTCCCACGTGGGGCAGCAAGGGTTCAAAAAATTGAGCAGTTCAACAGAGGTAGCAATCAGCCCTGCTAAACTGCATTCACCCTTTGTGGAAGGTGAATCAGTTCATGAGTCTCTGTATGGAGGTTGCAACCGACTCTCTGTATTCGTACACTAAGCCCATCTTGAATGAGCCCTTATCTGAGGAAGAGACTTATCAACTATACCCTTTTCATCTCCAACTAAATGAGAAAAGAAAAGTGAAGTCAGATTTGATCTTTCTCAAACCTTTGATCAACAGAACCCGAATAAAGGCATTGTTAGACTGTGGTGCTACACGAAATTTAATCTCCCCTGCAGGGGTACAAAAAATTCACCTGGGACTCAAAGTCTCAGACCTTGAGCATCCCTTATGCACACAGGTTGGGAATGTCTAGTCTGCCACAATCCAACAGGTCATCAAAGGTGTGTCATCCACCTTTGATACCAAAGGAGAAGTCAGACATAGTCTGAACTTCTATGTGTTTCCACACTGACCTTTTGATCCGGTTCTGAGCTTGAAGTGGTTGAGAGCAACTAATTCATGTCTTGACTGGGTTGTGCCCGAATTCAGTTAAGAACTGAACAAGGTGAGCTTAGACATTGTGTCTTAACAACAGATTATCACCCTAAGACCAGTTGCTATTGCCTGAAGGTATCAGAATTCGACAACTTGTTTAAATAAACTCACCAACAAAATTTGTTTGTGGCCTACGTGGCACAAACTGATTTATCCACTCCATAGTGTGATTCCATCATCCAGAAAGTGGTTGATGAGTATGCTGACTTAGCTCAAGAGCTTTTTTCACTTGTCCATAGGCAAACTAAACACCGCATTGAGACCCTCCCTGACTCTATCCCTCCAAAGGGCACAGTATATAGAATATCTCCTGCTAAGCTAGATGAGTTAAGGAAACAGTTAAAGACACTAATTGAGAAGGGTTGGATTAGGCCCAGTTCATCTCAGTATGGGGAACAGGTTCTCTTTGTCCCAAAGGGAAATGGTGAACTCAGGATGTATATTGACTACAGGGACCTGAATAAGATCACTCGGAGGAGTTCAAAGCCCTTGCCTAGGATCGACGATCTGCTGGATATAGTGCAAGGTTGCAAAGTCCTTAGCAAAATCGATCTGAAATTCGGGTATCATCAGATCGAAATGGTTGAGGAGGATGTTAATAAAAGTGCCTTCAAAACCAGGTATGACACTTACGAGTTTTTTGTCATGCCTTTTAGGTTATGCAGTGCCCCAGGAACCTTCTAGACATAAATGAACAAAATTTTCAAACCCTTTCTAAATCGTTTTGTTGTGGTCTACCTGGATGATATTCTGGTATTCAGCAAGAATGTTGTTGACCATGTTGATCATCTCAGGAAAGTTTTGCATATTATCAGAGAAAACAAACACAAAATAAATGAAGAAAAAATATTTTTTGGTGCTTCTTTTGTTTTGTATTTGGGACATATGATTTCCGCAGATCGTCTTTACCCCGAAGCCTCCAAGGTGGTTGTTGTTAGGGATTGGCTACAACCACGTACTATTAGGGACATTAGGTTTTTCATGGCTCTAGCATCTTGCTATAGGAAGTTTATCAGAAAGTTTTTTACCATCGCCACTCCGTTGACTAGCCTGTTGGCGAAAGATGTTTCTTTCAGATGGACACCTACATGCCAATTGGCTTTCTCCATATTGAAGAAAACCTTGACCCAAGCACCTGTCTTGAAGCTCCCTGACCCTACTTTACCATTTGTGTTGACCACTGATGTCAGTCGGTATAGTGTAGGGGTTGTCCTTTAGCAAGATGACAGGTCTGGCCTTAAGCCTGTGGAGTTCATGAACAAGAAGATCAAGGTTCAAAAGATCAAGGCATATACTTATGCGAAAGAATTATTTGCCCTTGTGTGTGCCCTCAAACAAAGGAAACACTTCTTGTCGGAAAAACACTTCAAAATTTATTCTGATCATTCAACGTTGCAGTGGATGAAGACCCAGGGGGAGTTGAATGATAAGTTGGCGAGGTACATTCAGTTCATTGACTCTTTTGGTTTTGAACTGAAGCACAAAAAAGGATGTTATAGCAGAGTTGTCGATGCACTTTCTCTTAGACCTAACACTTTTGCTGCCATTGCTCAGACCTACTCGTTTGGAGACTCCATTGGTCAGGCCATTGCTGATGCGCTGCCTCAGAACCCTATCTTTCGACCCATTGTCCGGACTTTGCAGGCCGATCCCAATTCTAAGTCAGGTTATCCCTTGACTTCATACCTCCTTTATACTATCAGCGAGGGTGATGAACGTTTGTGTATCCCTAATGATCGCAAGATCATAACTCGTTTGATTTCCGAGAGTCATGATGCACGTGGTCACTTCGGGTTTCTGAAGACTTATGTTGCCGTCATCCAGCGCTTCTTCTGGCAAAAAAATGAGAAAGGACATACTGCCATACTCCACTACTTAGAGAATTGTGAATTGTGCCAAACGAATAAGGTCCACAGAAGACCTCCTATGGGACTGCTCAAACCTTTACCAATCCCTGAAGGTCCAGGTGAATCTATAGACTTTACTAATTTAGGCAAGACCACCCCTCGAGGGATCAGACAAGTAATGGTATGTGTAGACCGGTTCTCTGAGTACGCAGAGTTCATCTCACTGCCTACAGAGGCTAAAGTGCCTCTTGTCAAAGAGGTATTCGCTGAGAGGTGAGTGAGTGTCCATGGGCACCCAACCTCTATTGTGAGTGACAGAGACCCACGTTTTTTAAACGATGAGTGGTGGTCCTTCTGTCAAGATTATCTTCACGCTAGGTTGGACATGACATCTAGTAGACACCCTGAAGCCAATCGACAGGCTGAAGTGATGAACCAGATCTTGTTTCAGCTGCTACGCCCTGTGATCACACCAGATCAACAGGATTGGGACAAACATATGTCCAGGGCTCAACTCATATACAATGCTTTTGTTCATAGTACAACTGGTTTCACCCCCTACAGATTGCATTGGGGTAGGGAGCCTAGACAACCTCTCGATAGTATTATCAATAAGGTTAAGCCCAAATTTACCCCTAGCACTACCTAGTTTGTCAAGAGCTATGAGAAGGATTTAGAAAAGGCCAGAGTTAACATGTCCAATTCACAAAAGAGAATGATTGAAGAAGCTAACAAACATAGACAGCCATATGCGACCGTGTATTCTACTGCATGGGTGTGCACGCTTTTTTTTTTTTTTTTTTTTTTTTTTTTTTTTGTGTGTGTGTGTTGTGCACGCTTTCTTGCCCTTGCCATGGAGTTGCAATGAATTGCAGTGCTACACGCGGGCTGTATACTAATTTTGTCCTTTTTGTGGTTGTCAGGACTCTATCCCACAACCTTTGTTTGCTGTGTTGCCTGTTTGCCTGCTATTTGCTTGTTTTGAGCCTTGCGGGACTTTATCCTGTGACCTGCAACTTGTGTGTGTTTTGTTTGTGAGTATTGCGTCTTCTGGGACATGATCCCTGAATCTCACTGGTGATCTCTGTTTGGTAGTCTTGGGCCATTCTGGGTCCCCTTTTCCCGTTTCCTGGGTACAGGGGAGTCGTAGGTTGCTCTCCGGGGAGTAGAAGTAGCCGGCAGTGGGCAGGAAATTAGATTGGGTCTTTTGCATCTCATTTTGACTGGGGAAACTCTGCCATCCGTTGCTGGAGTGCTACTGCACTATTTTGGGTGCGGTCATCTTCTTCCTCGAAGCCCAGCCGTTGCTGGGGTTGAGAAATGAAACTGAAGACTGCACTGCTGCTATTTCCCAGCTCTGCATGAGAGCTTCCACAGGACTGTGTTGTTGCGTTTGGGCGCCGCCATTTCCACTTGGCAGCACTATCTGCTGTTCCTCCTCATGAGGAACTTCATCTTCTTCGAAGTGCTGGATCGATCGTATCCTTCTTCATCAAGACTTCCAGCACTGCACTTTCCTGCGGGCGCTGAGCTGGCGCTGCTATCATTGGGGTTGCTGGTTCAGATTGGCACGTTGTGAGAGCTGTGGGGTTACTGCTGCTATGGCAGCCATAGCCAGGGGTATGAGGTGGCGAGGAGGAAGAAGAAGACTCCTGCATACCCCGCATTGATTGGAGGACAGGGGATAGGAGAATTGAAATTCGTTTGTCTATTCTCTGTGTATTTTGAGTTTCCGCTGCGCATATCTACTCTTCCGTTTTGTGTGGATTTGCCTCCTTCGAGTCTACTCTGCAATTGCATGTGTGAATGCCAACGTGTGAATTCACTGTGGATTGAAGTTCAACCGGGTATGTAACAGAGTTCAGGCATAACAGGCCAAAAGAACCAAACAAGTAGAAACGAGCTTGGGCATATCCGCCTAGGCATCGGACTAGATTGATTCAATAACTGCTGTTGCTCAGAAAGGGTTCAAACCGCCATTGAGCCAACTGCAGCTACATTTTGCATAGCGTGTTCCGGACAACCTCCCTGACCAAGGGTCCGAGACAAGGGTTTAGATGCACTCCTGGAAGAGCAACAGCAATGAAAGGTTCGATATCAGCAAAAAGGAAAGAAAGAAGAAGGGTACCAGGGCGACCTTAGACGGGCAATATGGCTAACCCCCTGCCCCCAAGCACAAACGCCTATGCGTTTTAATAAATAAAATCAATGCAGCGCGTGGGCCGCAGCCCACGGGAGTGGCCGAAGCTCCTCTGCCTGTCTCAGGTCAGCCCTTCGCACACTCAGGCTGCACCATGCAGACAGAGTCCTCCCATGGGGGTGGACAGGGTCGTACCATGCAGACACAAAGCAGACGGGGCAGCACTACGCTGACAGAGAACATGAGCATGGGCCCTCTGCAAAGTTGAGAGGCCCAAATCTACAAATAGTGCGAATTCTAAGGAAAAGAGGGTTAAAAAAGGACCGAAAGAAAGAGGGGTTAAGAAAAACGGGCAGAAGCAGACCAACGGGGCTAGCTCAACGGGTACATCCTGATGTGTTCAAATACAGACCCAACTTGTAAACCAATTGTGGATAGCTGCCTTCCCTCAGTTCCATAATGGTGGTGCCCCTCCACAAACCAAATGTGCAAAATGAGAAGGACTCTTCCGGTAGAACATGGAAAGATACACAGCCACAGGGCCTTTCTCCACTACTCTCCACATGCACGAAAGATGACAAATATGGCCACGTATCTTTTCATGTTCTATCAGAAGTTCCATTCTCGTTTTGCACATTGTGTGAGTAGCGGAGGGATGTCTCTTTTCGTCGATGTGGTGAATAGTGCTCCAGCAGAGCAGGATTGGAACTCATGCCCTGCTTACTAACACTTATGCATCCACAAAGGACAAAATTGAGGTCGGTGTATCTTTCCATGTTTTTCTCATTCTGCACATTTTGTGAGTAGTTGAGCGAAGTCTCTTTTTTGTCTCCAGAGGGCTTCAAGCTCGTGCTGTGCTTAGTAACACCTAAGTGTCCACCTATACTGCCTTTCTGGCTCAAGAAACGTTGGCCTGAGCCAGAAATGTTGGCCTGTGTATTGACTTGCAGTGAGGGCACGGGTGCGCAGCCCATAGTTTGTATATGCTTGATTGATAAAGGAGGCATTATTGGTGAGGTTTAGAAGTAGGGTGATTGTTACATGAAAAAAAAGCAGTATTTATGTGGCATACTGCGCATCCACACGGTCCTGCAAGACCCGACCAAACAAGGAAAAGTAAGGGCCCTACAGGCCCTGTGTCGTTTTCAGCCTGAAAGCCTGAAAACAAGGGCCTACAGGCCCTGTGTCGTTTTCAGCCTGAAAGGGCCTACAGGCCCTGTGTCGTTTCAACCTGAAAGCCTGAAAACGAGGGCCTACAGGCCCTGTGTCATTTCAGCCTAAAAGCCTGAAAACGAGGGCCATTTTCAGGCCCTCATAAAGTCGACCTGCCCTGAAACTTAGGCACCAGACCAGGTCTTTTAGCACAGGCCATTTTTGGCCTGTTTTCAAGACAACCTTTGTTTGAACTTCAACACCAGGGTCTGGCACGTTTTGGCATTGGCAAGAGCAGCCTCCTGGACGGGCCAGCACTATATAAGAGTGGCCCGCCCTGCAGGCTGCAGGCAGTCACCAGGCAGGACAAGGTAGTTGTTACATACTTCGATGAGTATGGGCAGAACCAAAGATCAACCAATATAGGATGAGCATTTATGCAGCGGAAGTCTGATAACGAACTGACTCACATAGACTGACTTACATAGACTGACCTACATGGCATCACTCCACACACATACAATCATGAGATGGTGGGGTCTGGGTCATGCATAGACGATACCCAGATCCCGTACACACATGCACAGATGAAAGGTGGGAGGAGAGACGAGGGAGGTAGGAGGTAGATCACACCGATAGGTCACAAGATAGAGTCTGATAGGTCTCCGAATATGGTAGTCCAGAATGTCATATAACAAGATCAAAATGTCGAGGACCAAAGGTCACCAATGTCGGAGATAACAGAGTCCAGATGTAACCGGTGTCCAAC